ATCAAGAGGATAACACAAGCGGCATATGCCAGGTTGGCTAACATAAGAACGACCTTTAGAAACTTGTGTAAGGAATCTTTCAGAACATTATATACGACATGTCAGACCAATCCTGGAGTATGCGGCTCCAGCATGGAGTCCATATCTAGTCAAGCATAAGACTAAACTGGAAAAGGTTCAAAGGTTTGCCACCAGACTAGTACCCGAGCTGAGAGGTATGAGCTACGAGGAGAGACTACGAGAATTAAACCTCACTTCGTTGGAAGACAGAAAAGTTAGGGGGGATATGATCACCACATTCAAGATTCTCAAGGGAATCGACAGGGTAGATAAAGATAGGCTATTTAACACAAGGGGCACACGCACTAGGGGACACAGGTGGAAACTGAGTGCCCAAATGAGCCACAGCGATATTAGAAAGAACTTTTTTAGTGTCAGAGTGGTTGACAAATGGAATGCATTAGGAAGTGATGTGGTGGAGGCTGACTCCATACACAGTTTCAAGTGTAGATATGATAGAGCCCAGTAGGCTCAGGAATCTGTACACCTGTTGATTGACAGTTGAGAGGCGGGGACCAAAGAGCCAGAGCTCAACCATGCAAGCACAATTAGGTGATTACACACACACACACACACATCAGAGTACAAATGAGTACATCAGAGTAAAGAGAGAAGCAGAGAGACAGTATGAAAATGACATCGCGAGTAAAGCTAAGACCCAACCAAAACTGCTCCACAGCCACATCAGGAGGAAAACATCAGTGAAAGAACAAGTGATGAAACTGAGAAAAGGGGAGAACAGATACACAAAGAACGACAAAGAGGTGTGTGAAGAACTCAACAAGATATTCCAGGAGGTCTTCACAATAGAACATGGAGAGGTCCCTGCACTAAATGAGGAGGCAAACCGAACAACCTTGGAGGAATTTTACCTCACCAGGGATGAGATCAAAAGGAATCTGTTGGACCTGATTGTGTCAAAGGCTGTTGGGCCTGACAGAATCTCAAAATGGATTCTAAAAGAATGTGAAGAAGCACTAAGTGTGCCACTCTCGATGGTGTATAACAGGTCACTGGAAACGGGAGACCTTCCGGAAAGCAGGAAAACAGCTAATGTAGTTCCAATTTACAAAAAGGGTGACAGAGAAGAGGCACTGAACTACAGACCAGTTTCCCTAACTTGTATATCATGCAAGGTGATGGAGAAGATTATGAGGAAAAGGCTCGTAGAGCATCTGGAGAAAAACAGCTTCGTAACACACCACCAGCATGGGTTCAGAGATGGTAAATCGTGCCTCACAGGCCTAATAGAATTCTATGACCAAACAACACAAATTAGGCAGCAAAGAGAAGGGTGGGCAGACTGCATTTTCTTGGACTGTCAGAAAGCCTTTGACACAGTACCTCACAAAAGGCTGTTACAAAAGTTGGAGCAGCCGGCAAGAGTAAAAGGTAAGGTGCTCCAGTGGATAAGGGAGTATCTAAGCAATAGGAAACAGCGAGTAACGGCGAGGGGGAAGGCATCAGAGTGGCGAGATGTCACCAGCGGGGTTCCACAGGGCTCTGTATTTGGACCCATCCTGTTTTTAGTATATGTAAACGACCTTCCAGAGGGTATAGACTCATTCCTCTCAATGTTTGCTGATCATGCAAAAATTGTGAGAAGAATCAAAACAGATGAAGATAGACAGAGACTACAGGACTACCTGGACAAACTGGAGGAATGGTCTAGAAAATGTCTGCTAAAGTTCAACTCAGGAAAGTGTAAAGTAATGAAATTAGGCAAAGGGAGCAGAAGGCTGAACACAAGGTACCATCTGGGAGGTGAAATCCTGCAAGAGTCAAATAGAGAGAAAGATCTGGGGGTCGATATCACACCGAACCTGTCCCCAGAGGCCCATATCAAAAGGATATCATCACCGGCATATGCTAAACTGGCCAATGTAAGAACTGCCTTTAGAAACTTGTGTAAGGAATCGTTCAGGACCCTGCATACCACTTATGTAAGACCAATCTTGGAGTATGCAGCTCCAGCCTGGAGTCCATACCTAGTTAAACACAAGACGAAGTTAGAGAAGATTCAGAGGTATGCCACCAGACTGGTCCCGGAAATGAGAGGAATTATTTACGAGGAAAGGCTAAGGGAGCTGATCCTCACAACCCTGGAAAACAGAAGAGTAAGGGGAGACATGATAACCACCTACAAAATCCTCAGGGGAATTGACAAGATGGACAAAGACAAACTCTTTAGTACGGGTGGAACACGAACAAGGGGACACAGGTGGCAACCTAGTACCCAGATGAGCCACAGAGACGTTAGAAAGAATTTTTTCAGTGTCAGGGTAGTTAACAAATGAGATACATTAAGTAGTGATGTGGTGGAGGCTGACTCCATACACAGTTTCAAATATAGATATAATAGAGCCCAATAGGCTCAGGAATCTGCACACCAGTTGATTGACAGTTGAGAGGCGGGACCAAAGAGCCAGAGTTCAACCCCCACAAACACAACTAGGTGAGTACAACCAGGTGAGTATACACACACACACACACACACACACACACACACACACACACACACACACACACACACACACACACACACACACACACACACACACACACACACACACACACACACACAAAGGAAAACCAAGCGACCTTGGAGGAATTTGACCTCACCAGTGATGAGGTCAAAAGGTTTCTGCTGGAGCTGGATGTGCCAAAGGCTGTTGGGCCTGACAGAATCTCACCGTGGATTCTAAAAGAATGTGCAGAAGCACTAAGTGTGCCACACGATGGTGTGGCATAACAGGTCACTGGAAACGGGAGACCTTCCGGAAAGTTGGAAGACAGCTAATGTAGTCCCAATTTACAAAAAGGGTGACAGGCAAGAGGCACTGAACTACAGACCAGTTTCCCTAACTTGTATACCATGCAAGGTGATGGAGAAGTTCGTGAGGAAAAGGCTCGTAGAGCATCTGGAGGGAAATAACCTTGTAACGCACGACCCACATGGGTTCAGGGATGGTAAATCGTACCTCACAGGTTTAATAGAATTCTATGACCTGGCAACAAAAATTAGGCAGGAAAGAGAAAGGTGGGCCGACTGCATTTTCCTGGACTGTCAGAAATGCTTTTACACAGTACCCCATAAAAGCCTGTTAAAAAAGTTGGAGCAGCAGGCAGGAGTAAAAAAGGAGGTGCTCCAGTGGATAAGGGAGTACTTAAGCAACAGATAACAGCGAGTAACGGTGACGGGGGAGACATTAGAGTGGCGAGATGTCGCCAGCGGAGTCCCACAGGGCTCAGTACTTGGACCCATCCTGTTTCTAATATATGTAAACGATCTTCCTCCGGAGGGTATAGACTTGTTCCTCTCAATGTTTGCTGATGATGCAAAAATTATGAGAAGAATCAAGACGGATGAAGATAGACAGAGACTACAGGATGACCTGGACAAACTGGAGGAATGGTCTATAAAATGGCTGCTAAAGTTCAACTCAGGAAAGTGTAGGGTAATGAAATTAGGCGAAGGGAACAGGAGGCTGAACACAAGGTATCATCTGGGAGGTGAAATCCTGCAAGAGGCAACTAGAGAGAATGATCTGGGGGTTGATATCACACCGAACCTGTCCCCAGAGGCCCACATCAAAAGAATATCATCAGCGGCATATGCTAGACTGGCCAACATAAGAACTGCCTTTAGAAACTTGTGTAAGGAATCGTTCAGGACCCTGTATACCACTTATGTAAGACCAATCCTGGAGTATGCAGCTCCAGCCTGGAGTCCATTCCTAGTTAAACACAAGACAAAGTTAGAGAAGATTTGGCGGTATGCCACCAGGCTCGTCCCGGAACTGAGAGGAAAGAGCTACGAGGAAAGGCTGAAGGAGCTGAACCTCACAACCCTTGAAAACAGAAGAGTAAGGGAAGACATGATAACCACCTACAAAATTCTCAGGGGAATTGACAAGATGGACAAAGACAAACTCTTCAGCACGGGTGGGACACGAACAAGGGGACACAGGTGGAAACTTAGTACCCAGATGAGCCACAGAGACGTTAGAAAGAATTGGTTCAGAGTCAGGGTAGTTAGTAAATGGAATGCATTAAGTAGTGATGTGGTGGAGGCTGACTCCATACACAGTTTCGAGTGTAGATATGATAGAGCCCAATAGGCTCAGGAATCTGTACACCAGTTGATTGATAGTTGAGAGGCGGGACCAAATAGCCAAAGCTCAACCCCTGCAAGCACAATTAGGTGAGTACACACACACACACACACACACACACACACACACACACACACACACACACACACACACACACACACACACACACACACACACACAGTTTCAAAGTTTTGTCATATAACGACTTGATACTTGTCCTGGATGACTACTGCGGGAGATGGTGTGGTGGTCTAGCAGTAAGACCTGTCTTGGATGCCCTGGATGCTCTGCCGTCACCGCCATCATCCCCCCTGTTAGGTACAAGTTACTGTATGAGACAAAGACTATGTCTTTGTCATATAACGCCTTGAAGAGTTCTGGGTAGACGGGACACCACGAGCGTAGCTCTCATCCGGTAACTACACTTAGGTAATTACACACACACTTTTTTCTGGAGCCAGTGGCTGAGTGGACAGCACGCTTGATACGTAGTCTTGTGGACCGGGATTCGTTTCCCGTGCCGGCACAAACAAATGGGCAGAATTTCTTTCACCCTGATGTCCCTGTTACCAGAATTCTTGCGTGCTAATTTGCATTATTTTGTTTTCGTGGGAGTCACAACGGTCCCGAAGGAGAACTTTGTAAAACCACCTTGGTGACTCATCAGGACTCATCATTTTCAAGTTTCTGATGACCTTCCAGCTACACTCATCATACTGAAGCCGTCCTGTAAGGTCTTGATGCTTTTATAATTCTCTTTACGGTGCACCGAGTGAGCCTGGGGGATGATTTTCAACATTTGAAAATATATATTTTTTCCTCCAGATCCGAGAACTGCACAGAAATTGTGTGTCTGACGAACTGCAAATGGAACAATACTGGCATTGCGGCTGCAAACTGCACTACAACCACCAATGCCCCAACAACCACCAATACCCCAACAACCACCAATGCCCCAACAACCACCAATGCCCCAACAACCACCAATGCCCCAACAACCACCAATGCCCCAACAACCACCAATGCCCCAACAATCACCAATGCCCCAACAACCACCAATGCCCCAACAACCACCAATGCCCCAAAAACCACCAATGCCCCAAAAACCACCAATGCCCCAACAACCACCAATGCCCCAAAAACCACCAATGCCCCAAAAACCACCAATGCCCCAAAAACCACCAATGCCCCAAAAACCACCAATGCCCCAAAAACCACCAATGCCCCAAAAACCACCAATGCCCCCAAAACCACCAATGCCCCAACAACCACCAATGCCCCAACAACCACCAATGCCAGAACAACCACCAATGCTCCAACAACCACAACACTCACCCAAAGCCCCACCACCACACCCCTCACTCCCATCGCCACACCACCCATCATCAACCTCAACCAACAAACCATCCCACCCCAGCCAAGCACGATAAGAGTAAGGAACACCACTAATGATAACGAATCGGTACATTCAGGTATGTTAAATTAAGTCACTTATTCCGTTAGTGAGAAATATATTTACTAAAGTGTAATTCTCAACCCAATAAAATTTGGGAAAATGAGGATTGTCAAAGTAATGAGAGTGGGTGAATTTAATATGTAAATCAACCCAATAAAATTAGGGAAAATGAGGATGGTCAAAGTAAAGAGAGTGGGTGAATTTAACATGTAATAAAGATAAATGTGTGCAACAGTAAAATTATAAAATAAAGATGGAGTAAAACGAAGATGAAAATTATTGGGAAAGAAAAATAGCGTAAAGCATGGATGAGAAAATGGAAAATCTAAAATAGGGAAATAGTACTATAGGAAAAAGGTAGCAGGCTTCCAGAAAATTGCCAGTAATATGGTTTAAAGAGTATTTTATGCAGTGAAACAATCCACATAATTGTTCCAATTTACAACAAAGTAAAACTAACTTTCCCAGTAGTATCCGGGTGTTGGTCCACGTCCTTGTATCACCCACATATAAACTACCTTTCCAACTTTATTTGAACCATTCATCTGTGTTCTTTGTCTCATACAGTTACTTGTACCCAACAGGGGATGATGGCGGTGACGGCAGAGCATCCAGGTCATCCAGAACAGGTCTTACTGCAAGACCACGTCGACTATGTAAGACCACCACACCATCTCCTGAAGTAGTCATCCAAGACAGGTCTTACTGCAAGACCACGTCGACTATGTAAGACCATCACACCATCTCCTGAAGTAGTCATCCAAGACAGGTCTTGCTGCAAGACCACGTCGACTATGTAAGACCACCACACCATCTCCTGAAGTAGTCATCCTGGACAGATCTTACTGCAAGACCACGTCGACTATGTAAGACCACCACACCATCTCCTGAAGTAGTCATCCAAAACAGGTCTTACTGCAAGACCACGTCGACTATGTAAGACCACCACACCATCTCCTGAAGTAGTCATCCAAGACAGGTCTTACTGCAAGACCACGTCGACTATGTAAGACCATCACACCATCTCCTGAAGTAGTCATCCAAGACAGGTCTTACTGCAAGACCACGTCGACTATGTAAGACCATCAGACCATCTCCTGAAGTAGTCATCCAAGACAGGTCTTACTGCAAGACCACGTCGACTATGTAAGACCACCACACCATCTCCTGAAGTAGTCATCCAAGACAGGTCTTACTGCAAGACCACGTCGACTATGTAAGACCACCACACCATCTCCTGAAGTAGTCATCCTAGACAGGTCTTACTGCAAGACCACGTCGACTATGTAAGACCACCACACCATCTCCTGAAGTAGTCATCCAAGACAGATCTTACTGCAAGACCACGTCGACTATGTAAGACCACCACACCATCTCCTGAAGTAGTCATCCAAGACAGGTCTTACTGCAAGACCACGTCGACTATGTAAGACCACCACACCATCTCCTGAAGTAGTCATCTAGGACAGGTCTTACTGCAAGACCACGTCGACTATGTAAGACCACCACACCATCTCCTGAAGTAGTCATCCAAGACAGGTCTTACTGCAAGACCATGTCGACAGCCTAAGACCGCTGCACCATCTCAAGAAGTGAAGATCCAAACATTACAGTCATCCTTGATAAGAGTTCATAATTTTCTCTAATGATTATTTATATTTAAGCAACAGCTGAAAAAATATATAATTATGTTTAGAAATTAATTAGTTCACCCACAATCAATTTACAACAAAGAAGAAAATACGGCCTATTATGAAAAATATTAAACAAAGATTAAATTAAAATTTACTTCATTAGTTGTTGTAACTTCAGAGATAGGAAATATAACTTAGGGTATATTAATAAAAGTTTTAAATTTGCCAGTTTATATATAATGGATTAAATGTAATTGTTTTGTATAAAAACGATTATTTTATGTGAAAAAGTTAACAATAAAATAAAATATTGCTAAAGGCTATTACAAATTATATATTATGTAATATGACCATTTTCTAAACAGAAAACAAATCTCATAAGCTTTATAGTTTTCCAGAAAACACATTAGACAAACATGTGCATAAGAGGTGAGTCGCCTACTTACAGAAGACAGTAGCTCACCAGTGATATCAACATATGCAAGACACCTGTATATATATGATAATATAATGAGAAAGATGTGTAAGCGATAAACAATTGTAAACCATAAAATATGACAAAATATCCAAGATGTCAACATAGGTTAGGCTAAGTGCATTAGCATATGAAAAAGAGCATGCACTCGCTATTAAAATATGCAAATTGTCGGAATATATATAAGGCATCAACATGTAAACTCTGTTAGATGAATACCGTCATCTTTTGTACAGTAAATACATATGAAAGAAACCAACAATGCAAGAATGAAGCAGATGCAAGAAACCAACAGATCCAAAGAACCAACACTTGCAAGAATCCAACAGATGCAAGAATGAAACAGCTGCAAGGAACCAACAAATGCAAGAAATCAACAGCTTCAAGAAACCAATAACATTGGCCTTGCTAGAAAACTAATTAAAATAAAATTAAGATCTTAATATGTGTATCAGTTGCCTATACCACAATTTTATCTTCCATTTTCTATTTAATACTTACACCAAAACAAAATAAAAAGTGTGGTGGTGGGCCTTGTGTGGTGGTGGGGCTTGTGAGGTGGTGGGCCTTGTGAGGTGGTGGGCCCTGTGAGGTGGTGGGTGTTACGTGTGCTGTTTTCACACACCAGTGGGCTCAGGTGGTGGGTCCCTTGGAGCACCTGGTTCGATCTTTCTTGCTAAGCTGACTGCTGGCTTAGAAGCCTCATTGAACGTTGTCTGCTTGTTGGGTCCTAAACCAGTCAATGTTTGTGGGGACTTAATCACAGTTATTGTGACGTTCTTGCTTTTTCGACATACCAATAAAACAATTTAATTTAATTTAAAACAATTTTAACTAAATTTCTCAGTTAATACCCCCAAGTTCCTCAATGTATTTTAAATTATACAAGCAGTACCCGCCACGCGTTGCTGTGGCTCAGTGTTTTTAAATGGGAAAGAAAGAAAAGAGAAAGCACACGTTTCTAATATGTTTAATTTCACAATGCTTGTGGGTATACAATATTTTTTGTTGTTCCATTGTCTGTGGAGATATAGAGATTGTCTGGTTTGCCGACTCTAGAACACTCAACATATAATTGTCCACGTGAGAAGGCAATCCGTGTCTAGATATAAACTGTACAATTCTAAAGATTGACCCTGAGCTTTGTTGATGGTGATTGCAAACGCCAATCGAATTGGAAATTACAATCTCTTAAATTGAAATGGCATATCTCTTGGAATCATAGGAATGCGAGGAATGAGAACATCTTCCCCTTTGAAAGGTCCTGTCAGATTGTTGCTTCTACGACGTCGCTGATTAATTTTTTTAGAGCAAGGCGCGTGGCGTTGCAAAGTTTTGGCTGGTTGATATTTCGCAACATGATAATTGGCAAGCTGATTTTCAATTGCAGAACGTATGATGGTATCCCTGGCAGATCGAGTGAATTAAAAAAATCTGTTGGATAATTAACCGCTTCATCTGCTTCCACAACAGTGTCGACGGATTTGTATGTGACTGCATCGCTTTGATTGTTAGACTGAATAATATTGTTAGGGTAGTAGACGTTTTGTTCTTGGCCACAAGAATAGCTCGTTCACTTAGCCAATCGTGATTCTTATAATTGGTTTCAATATTGGGAAATACTTTTTCAACCAATTCTTCTTTTGACGTCGCTAAATTGCAGAAGTTATGAGGCAATGAAATTCGTCCTGAGGTCAGATCAACCGGCCCGTTTACGTTCCCAATTTCTAGAAATTGATGTGAGAATATCTCAGCTGATGGATCGTTTTTGCAGTAGCTACATAACTACACGCATATTTGTTGTTAATTTAAATGTCTACGTGGCGCCACAAAGTAGAGTATTTCAGGTAAGCATTTATTTCGTCCGCTGGTGTCGATCGAGGAATTACAGGTAATGTTTGTCTGAAATCTCCTGCAAGCAATATTAATGCGTTTCCAAATGCTCTGATGTTTCCACGCAAATCTTGCAATGATCGATCAAGAGCCTCGAACGATTTTCTGTGGGGCATTGTGCATTCATCCGAAACAATAAGTTTGCATTTCTGCAGTACTTTTCCCATGCCGGATGCATTGGAAATGTTGCACGTGGGAGTTTCAATGAATTGCATGTTCAATGGCGATTTCAAAGTCGAAGTAGCAGTTCTTCCACTTGGTAGCAATTTCGCAGCAATTCCGGACGATGCAAGAGCTAAGGTTATGCCATTTTGGGATCGAAATGCTGCCAGAATCAATCTAATTGGGAAGGTTTTACCAATTCCTCCTGGTGCATCAAGAAGATTTCTCCAAGCCCGTTATTGACGGTTTGAATTATTTGATTGTTAACGCCTTTTCGCTCAAGCGTTAGCCTAGGAATATTTGATTAAACATACGACAACAGATCACATGTGTTGTAATTTTGTTCACGACGCAATTCTACATCGAACGAAGCAACAGCAGATCGATTCGGTGGTGGTATTTCCAACTGATTGAGAACTTTGCTCGCGATTTCTAAGCTCAAGTCTTCAATCATTATTAACGCTTCGTTGAAGACTTTTGCTGTAAAATCCATGTTCATATTTGAATTTTCTTTGCGTTTTCGACGGATAGTATCTTCAGCCATGTGCGATTTATACTTCTCCCATATAAGTCTATATAACTTAGATCCATTTTTAATAGATCAATTAAAGGGCGATTTAGGTAAGATCATTGGAACACATTTGTCTCACTAATTCATTGTATATATTTACTATTTTATGCTTTAATTATATATGTGTGGGCCTGTGTGTGGTTGCTGCTACAGATGGGCCAATGGGCTGCATCAGATGGGCCAATAGGCCGTCTGCAGTGTCTACGTATTGTACCTCACCTCACTCCACCATTCTCTCCTGCCTATTTATGTCCAGTATTCGATCTGTAAAATCACTCCTTCTGAAGATGTATTAATATACGAAAGTACTTAAGGAAATTCCTGTTTCATTTTTCCTGCGTGGTCTAACATTGTCACATTTTTAATCACTTAATCAATTTTTAGTCAATTAATGTTTATTTTCGTGATATACACACATGTACACATATATATATATATATATATATATATATATATATATATATATATATATATATATATGTCGTACCTAGTAGCCAGAACGCACTTCTCAGCCTATTATGTAAGGCCTGATTTGCCTAATAAGCCAAGTTCTCATGAATTAATTGTTTTTCGACTACCTAACCTACCTAACCTAACCTAACCTAACTTTTTCGGCTACCTAACCTAACCTAACCTATAAAGATAGGTTAGGTTAGGTTAGGTAGGGTTGGTTAGGTTTGGTCATATATCTACGTCAATTTTAACTCCAATAAAAAAAATTGACCTCATACATAATGAAATGGGTAGCTTTATCATTTCATAAGCAAAAAATTAGAGAAAATATATTAATTCATGAAAACTTGGCTTATTAGGCAAATCGGGCCTTGCATAGTAGGCCGAGAAGTGCGTTCTGGCTATTAGGTACGACATATATATATATATATATATATATATATATATATATATATATATATATATATA